AGAGCAGAAATGATATCCTGAATGCAGGGGAAAAGAACAAATGAAAAAAGCTGCCTCTAACTTCATACCTTCCAAATAAAAACTAGGTCTCTTTCTATCGGTATTTCCAACCACAAATCACTAAAGTCAGCAAACAAATTACTAAACAAAGTTGCATAGCTAATGCTGCTCAGAAGATTATATTACGCTACCATAGCAGTGCTTTCTGAATCTTGAAAATTGTCTGGTACACAGAAAGAAAAAAATCAGCATAAAGAGGTCTAAGACAACAGTATTTTTCTATCTTATTTTGTAATTTTATTCTACCTGTAACTGAAAACCTCTTAAAAAGGCTCTAGAACATATACTTCAAAGACAAATTGCAGGTATGCACTATGATTGAGTTAGTAGGTTCCCGTTCGGCCTTGAATTTTTTCACCATTATCTGCTTTGCTGCTTTTGGCTTACTCTCAGGAATTCCAGCCCTCATTCTCCCAAGACTGACATAGGTAGAATTTTATACACCTAAAACTACTACTAATTTATTAATCTATCAATGCACTGTCAAAAGACAATTCTGGTAAATAAAGGTCTCAGTAACTATCCTTAGTATACATTTATCCAGATTAAGCTGTTTTAGGAAAGCTAGATTTGCAGGCAAAACCAGCAAACTACAATCTGTACTACAGCAGTAAACCAGACTGCAGAAAGCGCCAAGGAGCAAATAGCAAACAGGACACCCTAAATACCGAAAATGAAACAAACAGTATATAAGTGCCAAGTGAATAATTGCATTTACCTCTGAATGAACTCTCTGTATGTGTGACTGAAGATTGCCTTTCTGAGAAAAGGCTGCTGGACAAAAGGCACAAGCATGGGGTTTTTCACCAGTGTGCTTGATCATGTGGGTCTGCAATGCCCCCTTCTGGTTAAAGGCTTTTCCACATTCACTGCATTTAAAAGGTCTTTCACCTGGAAAGGGAAAAAAGGATATGGGGTAGGAGGCTTTAAAAAACATTGGTAGTTTCCATTTTCTAAATGAAATTTTATCAGCTAAAATAAAATAAAACATTGCATACAGATATCTATTTGTATTGTATGGCCCTGCTCAAAAATAAACTTAAAACCTTGAATGTTTACATAATTGCCGAACATTAAAGAAAATCTATGCAATATTGTTACAGGATTGCCCCATCACCATTTCCTGATTTTGCTGTTTTCAGTGCTATGCATACTTACAGTTATTGTACATTAACAGATTAAGCATTAAAAACTTCTCAGAAACTTTAAGTGACAAAATATAATAGAACTGTATTAACACATTACAAAGCTATGTGTTCTAAACACACAGATACCAAGAACAGTTTGGTTTCTTACAACCATGTGTCTTAATTGACTACCGGAAATCTCCACTGTGAACTCATTATTACTCTTTTTTTAAATTTTTTTTAATTTTAGTGAAACAGTTTAGCAGTGATAACCCCAGAACCTTGAGAACATTTCACTTTGCCTCTGTGCTTTTCTACAGCAAAAGCACTATGAGAATGCTGTATATTGTGTCTGCTACACCAGCAAGTACTAGCACATTCTAAATATTACACACACTAAAGCAGTTTTAGTGTTTTCATATGACTTCTAATTACATAGTCATAATTACATCTATTTTTTTAATTATTCTTAATTAAATTCACTTTTTTAAAAATAAAAGCAGCTATTTTGTGAAACAGACTACAAGCACACAACTCAGTATCAACTCTGAAGGAATGTGTATTTTCTGTTATGCTGCTTATAGGTTTTGAAGATGCTTTCAGGTCTGTGGTTTTTAACTGTATATTTTTAAATCTAGATTAAAATACAGAACACTAACTCAGATCTTGAAATACACTGAAAAAATTCCAATTGGGCTTTAATAGGTAAAAGGCTTAGTTTCCACTAATAGCTGCTGATGGACACACAATATTGCTTCAGGTTAAGTCTGCCATTTTAAGTAAATCTCGTTATAAAAACTAAAACTTAATCCTAGTTTGGAAATGCAGAATCTCTGTATTTTTCAAGTATCTCTTAATAAAATACAGATCTGGGAGGGGGAATGAGGGGTTCGTTACCTAGTTATTAATAACGGAACTGCAATCCCCGAGACTTACAATTTTTTTTCCCAAAGGGTATGTTTGAAATTAGTAACTATGAAGAAAAATGTATTGAAATTAAGATAATGATGTAATGCTGTACATGTAGCACTGACATACTCTTTTAAAAATTAAAGACTTAAGTATTCTAAACTCTTCAAAGTGGAGTTCTTCTTTCCTACACACTTCACAGTACCTCAAGCAACTAGACGCCATGCAGACTGTCAGTGGATTTAAAGGAACACCACAATTCAGAAACTAATGAGCATTTGCTAGCTACCTGGCACTTAAAATGACCTACCGTCACGTGCACACTGAAACTACATTTTCTGTTTCTTGACATCCCAACAGACAAACAACTTTTTATTCTTCAAAAGAATTATAAATGCTCTGAACTTCTTGAAGCTTTAGAAAAGTGTCCTCATCCAACTATAATCTTGCTTCTTTTATTTGACTAGAATAAGCTAAAATAATGTATCAAATAGAGACAAAACTTTAAAATAAGAAAGTTAATTTTTTAATTATTTTTTGTTACATTACTTTAAGGCAACTTTTAAAGCAGGTACAAGGGTGACCTCTTGTGTTACTGTTTCATACTTAAATGATTTATTATTTATTCACAAGATAGAAAATACATATATATATAGCACATAACTGAAGCATCCTCAAAGGTTTTGTTTAGAACCAAACTTACACTATACTATGTACTGCTGCTTAAAACTTGAGAACCATTCTTACAGTCCTCTGCACACTTCAAAAACTTTTGTATTATTTTATACTTAGCATTTTTCAGTTATATCAATTGCTTATGAGTTAAAACAGATGCACATATTTATGACAGTAATTTTAAAAAAATGACCTGCTATTCATTCTGCAAAACTGAACAGTCACCTGCTCTTCTTCAAGTATCAAAATTACAACGTAGACTTATCACCTTCCAAATTCACTTTGGACATCCTGAAAATGACCGTTACAATAAGTATAGAAAATGTACAGGAGTAACTATAAACAAATCAATCTAAAAACAAAAATCAAAGCCACTATGTTACTAGTATTATACTTTCTCATGTATTTCTACTCTTTTTGTGATTGTAAATTTTAGAACCTGTTATTCAGAGTATGTAAGATCTTATTTAGATTACCTGACTGGCCCTTATTTAGGTATTCCAATTTTAGGGCCCACTGAAACAAAGTATCAAAACTGGTATCCTGTGACAAATGAAACCTGTAAAGTAGTTAAAATTTCCAGATGTATAACATTATAAACAGTTTGAAAGATTTTTAAAAGTATATAGATTTCCTAAGCAATGAACTACATAAAGGGTTTTTTAAATCAGCAGTTAACAGCTTCCAATACTTTAATACTATTCCTTGTCCCAACAGGGAGAAAAATATTTAGCACTTCACAGATGAACTGAATTTTGTAAAACAAATGCAAGCCAACATAATTACTTCCACAGACTTACCTGTGTGTATCCTAACATGTCGTGTTAACTGACTCGGCTTCTGAAACGTCTTTCCACAGTGTGGACAGGAATAGGTAAACCCACTTCTGTCAATGTTTCTGTTATAGGATCTGGTATTTGATACCCTGCCATAAGAAAAAAAAAAGTAATCTTAATAGTGCACATTATTTTCAAGCTTATTTTACCCCATCATTTTTTAACATACAGTGTAAATTTGATGGCAGTTTATAGTATCAGCTGCGACATTTAAAAACCAAACTCTTTAATGATACTACAAGAACAATGCAGACAGCACTTTTCTAAGTACCTACAAGCACCAAGAATTAATAAAATCAATACATCTCAGGGACTCTCTAGAGACATTTTCACTGTAAATTCTACTAGAAGTATACAGTGACTTCACAGCTATTATTTTGGTGGGAATTTTCAACTCTGTGCAATTCCATTTCTTTTGCTTAAAGCCCTTCGTTCCGAACTAGAATATGAAGATCTCATGAACTAGAGCACAAATGCAGTTGCTGAAGTCAAACAGCAACAGGTTAAGAATTTAACAACCCAAATATTCACCACTGCCCCTCAGATACAAATCACAGTCTATACAGAGATGTGGCAACAGATGATATCAACTCCCATAATTCATTTCTCCACAAATCAAACTAATTGGTTGAAATGTTCGCTGAAAAACATCAACAGCAATGTGGAGAAACAATATTTATACTGGAAAAAAGGAGGAAAATTAAAACCCTAGATCTTACAGACCATCACAACTCAGCTAAGCAAGCAGAAACAAGAAGGCAGTGGGCAAACCAATGTAGTATCTAGAGCACGTTTTCCATAGTGCCTCAGTACTTAACACCTATGCAGTAATCCAGCTTGTCAGTACTGCTTAAAGCTAACTGAAATGTTACAGATTTAAATACCTGGTGTTTTTCTGAACAACTGAGAAATAAGAATTAGCAGATGTGCAAAACAGGCCACACCCTGAAACCCAGGCTGGTATAACACCACCAAACAGCAGGGGAGCGTCAGTCTGCCTATAACACAGGAAATCACTAAATTTCTGCTCCAATGCTGCATCTTTCCACTCTAAGAGAACACAGATATTCAATGTATCTTTAAAGGACAGCACATTCTCCCAATTACTTTAAACAAGCATGACATGCATTTCTAAACTATTTTTATATGCTTGTAGAGCAAGCACAGAGTGTGGGCAACATATTTTACTTATACATATTAACTATAACTACTAAAATTTACTGAAGCACCCGGAGTAAAATCAAGTGAAGTTTGAAGAGATGGAGAGAAAAGAGCGCAGATGTGCTCTAGAACCCATTCCTTCCATCTCAGGACAGATCTAGACCAGTCTGATTGTCAGAATGCATACTCTGATGAGCAACAACATCTGTCTGAACCAAAGCTGTGGCATTTTAATAACGGAATTAATACCCAATTTGGAGACAATTGTAGGGACAATCTTTCAAGATCACATCACCTTCTAAGGCACTTCATCATTTAGAGTTACGATGACAGTTTTCTTTTTAGAAAAAGTTAGATATTACAACTAAATTGTAACTTCGTAATAGTTTTCCATTCAAATGTTTCAAACACCTTTTTGGGAAGGAAAAGTGCAATCGCTTTATGAGAAAAACTTCAGGGAACAAGGCTCTTCATAATTTTAAATCCTAAAAATTTTCTGGAGCTTATTTTAAAATGAAAAGCAGGAATCAAATAGTAAGATTTTTAACCACTGATGTGTGTCCTTGAACTTTATATACAGTCAGGTTAGGTCAAATACTAACTTTTCATAATTCATCTGAATTTTATGAGAGGATTGTGTCAAATAATAAATTTTCAAAAATCAAAACATCCACATTTCTCCTTTCAAGATCATTTCTACTGAAACACAGAAGGTAGAGCAGGAACACTCATGAATTCATTAACCTGGCTCACACACATGGGTTGTATTGCTACTGCTGGTGAAAGGGGAGTAAAGTACCATTATGGACAGTACTTTCGTGAATACAAATGCAACATTTCTACATCTGAACTGATAAGTAAAGTGAATTTCATGTAAGGAAGCTCTGAATCCACAAATAACCCGTATTTATGAAAATAAAGATGAACAAATTATTGTGGAGCTGTTATATCTCATTTACATTAGAGCAAAGCATGTATAATACTCTAATAATAATACTCTAATAATAATACTTTAATACACTAATTCATTCTGACTTACACAAGACATGTCCACAGAAACGTTTGTTCTGTCTAATATTATATAACTCAATAGAAACATAACAAATTTACCTGAATTTTCAGTTTGTAAATGGAGATCTAGAACAATACTTTTAAAACTTCTGGAACACAGCTTATAAGATCTCACAACCTGCATCTTTTGCTAATAAAAAAAATTGGAAATATATGTATTTCTAAATAAGAAATATTTCCCAAATGTTTTTTATAGAGACAAAGTAAAGATTAGAAGAGAGATCTCCTATTAAAATACCTTAGACTTTCTTAATGTATAAGTTAAGCCAAGAGAAGGTTTTTTTCCTTCTTCTAACTTAAACTAATTTTCACCTTCCTGAAAGTGAAGTCAAAGTAGAAAGCTGAAAGAAAGGACAAAACAAATCTTCACTTAAAGTAAGAACAGCATTTATTAGGCCTGGTTTTTCCTTTAATTTTGTGCTTTTCAGATTTACAAGAAACTCATAGCAAGTTGTGGTGAAGACAACCTGCAGAAGACTATTAAACTGCAAGGAACAATTTCTGTCTTCATGGAAGGTAAATATTAGCATTTTTGTAATTACAACTGCTATGTAAAATTAATATACATTTGCTTCAACATACTGCTGTTAGCTAACCTTTAAAAATCACACAATCACACTTCAAAAACCACTCTATACCAGAAAAACTTAACCTATGCTTAAAAAGAGCAGGCAGATGGAACTATGCTCAGTATGGGTCACTATATATGAAAACGAGGTGAAAAGTGGGTGGGGAAAGGCCTCCAAAAATAACCACCTACACTTCAGCTAGGTTTTAAAAAAAAAAACAAACACAACAAACCCAAAACACACCAAATTCCACTTGCTAACAGCATACCAAAGAAAAGAAATTATCTACACAGGTCATGGTACTTCACTGACTGGAAATGCTACTCCTGCTTTCCCCCAGCTATCAGCATAAAAGTAACACCTGCTCATTTTGTTACAATCCAGTGACTGTCACCTTATTTTATAGTGGGTTTTCATATGCTCCTTTAGCTGTGCAGAAGTTTCAAATTCCTTTTTGCAAGACTTGCAGCTGTGGATCCTATTGCCTGCCAATTCTTGACGATGTTCTTCCATGTGTATGGACAGCTGACTCTGTAAAGTAAACTCATCTCCACACTCTGAGCAGATAAGGTTCTGAAAGACAGAATAGAGACTGATTTGTCAGAAGACCCCTAAACAGCGGTACACATGTACAAGCTTTGCTCAAGTAGATGAACGTATCCTCCCATGGACATCGGCAGCTGGAAGCAAGCAGCAATAAAAGCATACAAGCGAAAAACACTTACGAGCCCCATAATATAAATCATGAACAATAATCGCTGCAAGCTTAATGCAGTACTTGTATTTTAAGAAACTTCACTGAAACTGGCATCTGAAAAAAGTTCACACGGTAGCAGAGACAAGCAGTTCAATACTATCATCACTACTCACTATTTTCTTAGTAGACTAGTTCAAGATACACATAGAAACTTATCTCAAGTGTCATTATGCTACAGTCTACATAAAGAATTGTAAAAAATACTACTTTCTAACTAAAAATATTGTAACTGTAGATTCTGGAATTTTACACTTTTACTGGTTACAATGATAAATTGTCACTCACTTTTTAACAGTGAGTTAACTCACTGTTAAAACTCACTTTCCACACAACTGACTTTTCTTAAGCTATCTAACAGAACAGATGACAGAAATAAATAGGGACACATAATATTTTTGACAGGTATCTCTTCAACCCATTAGTTTTACAGCAGTGTTAAACATACCACTTTCCAGTTATATGAGTACTCCATGTCATTTAGAATGGAAATTATACTTGTAATGTTTAATGCAAAAGCATTGCCATTTCTCTGAAATCCAGAGGAAGAATAAAAGTCAAATATTACTTTGATGAAAACTAAAAGCTCTGCATTTTACTTCCTTTTGCTTTTCAAAACCATTAATTTTATTTCTCAGTGTATCTTTATTTTACAAAATCTAAGCAGAGTTAAGATTAAATGTAACAGATGTATTGCCAAAGAGATGGTGAATATTTTTAGACATGTTCCTTACTGGTGTGCATAAGTAACTTCAGACAGCTTTTGTCTTGGTTCATTTTTCAGTTACTGTGATTATGCCTGCACATGGAAGTGTTTTTTATTCTCCTCTCTTTTTCTTTTCCTCCTTGAATGATCAACCAGAGGACCAAAAAAACCATAAAACCATGTTCATTTAAATAAAGATACTGATAAGAAGGTTTTAAATCAAGAGGAACAAAGATATGCAATACTATTTTTAAAGTGCTTTGACAATAAATGTGTTCCCCAAGTCTGAAAAAAACTCAAAAATTCTGCAATATTGCCAGACGTTTCCACATAAAAACTTAAAAATCTGAAGTCCTTTAATGAAATTAAATACTACCTCAAAAATGACTTGTTTAACATAACCTACAGATTATTCCTAGTGGACTTAAATTACAGTGCGAGACGAAAAATAAATATTACATTCTTTTCTAGGATCTACATTCAAATCTGAATAAGAATACTTCTTAGTTAAAAATACTGTTCTTATACAACAAGTTAGGTTTATGATGATCCTTTTTAAGCAGGGGAAAATCAGGATAAAGCTGGTTGATACACAGCACAAAACAAGGCTAAAGTTATCCAAACCTCAGTTTTGTGCAGCAATCTCCTCAACTGCTATGTATGTTCCCTGAGTATGTATCTTTGCTCTGTTTGCAGATTTGAACCCTCCTAAAAGTAAAAGTAGCAAACAGGAGGGAAAATGTACTCCACTGGTAACTTCTTATGCTGCACATCATGAGAAACTCCTGAATGACAGCTAGTGCCAGCCTCAAGACCCTCTGCTTCAAGTTCAAATTCCAGCTCTCATACAGGGTCCGTGCATAACTACTGAGAAAATCATTCCTGCAGTTCTCTGTGAATTAACTGTTACATTCATCTCCATTTTATCACAGAATTATAGGGCATTATCAGAATACATTCATTAGCAACTGAAAGGTATTCATATTTTTATATATTTAATTTTCAAGCTGCAGATGGAATTTTAAAATGGAAGGCATCACACAACCTATTCTTTAGGTATCTGCACCAAGTATCAAACTCAGAGCTGCTGAAGTGGATGAAAAAATCACTTAGTGATAGCAATGAATACTAAAAACCACTCTTCAGCATCTTTCTTGATGCTCAGTTTCCTTATTCTGATGTTTTTAGCAATTCATAAATCAGGTTTCCACAAAAAATACCCATTAAAATATATTAACATGCCACAAAATTGTATTCAAGTCCTCTCATTTTAACCCAGTTGTGTATGTGATAAAATACGAACTGATAACAAGATTAAAGAAGGAATCCATTCTCTACAGATGGCATTCCCTGTCTGGTTCAGGGAAAAATGCAAACAGGCTTATTATCGCAAACCTACTGGTCAAAACTGCTGTAAGCTGTCTGCAGTTGGTACAGAGAAACACACAGTTGTTATGTTTATGATTAGAAGTCTGGCAATAAAAGTGCATGCTTGACTCAGCTCCAATTCTACAACACAAATTGCAATTTTAAAAAAAGTCTTCACAGGAGGAAGACATAATTACATGACTGAAAACTTGGTATTTTGAGCATTAAAATCAACTCTGGCAACTGCAGTAATGCAGCAATGACTACAAAGTGTGCAAAATACTATTATGCATTAACCGCTTACTAAGTATTTAACCAATGCCTTACAAAAATGGAAAATGAAATTGTGAGAAGGAACAAGAAGTCCTCTCAAGTGAAATAACCATTCAAAAAACAGGGCTAGACATTCTAGATAAGGCAACAGCTTCGTGATGCAAGAAACAGATAGTGAGAGTGCCTCACCATGACATTTGCTATCAAAAATGATCACCCAGGCTACTACATGTGGGCTTGTCAGTGTACACAGAATCACAGAAATTGCTTCAAAATACAAGTATTTGTAAATAACTAATTAGTTAGTAACGACAGGATTGGAACACTTGCTTATACCCAGTACGTTAATTTCTGCTACTATTACTAAAACACACTCCCCACAAAAAAAACTGTATTTCTTCAGAATGAGACCATTTATTCAATTCTCCAATGTAAAGCATAAGGCTAAGGGATTAAGTACAACCATTATGATGTGTCTTTTCAAAATTTAAATTATGAATTTTAATGAGTTACCTCCTCCTTCTCATGTAGCATTATATGAGCTTTCAGACTGGCTACTCTGGAGAATTTCTTGTTGCACACAGGACACGTAGGATCTTCGCCATTGTGTGTACACTTATGAAGTGTCAAGTTGAATTCAACATTAAATGACATCGGACACTGGTCACATCGGTGAGGCTGTTTGTTAAAACGACAAAAATAAGACACAATTCAGTCTTCCCGTAAGTTACATATAGCCTAGGTGATACAAGGAACCATACAAATCAAACTGTTTCAAATAAAAAAAAGAGCAATTCAAGTACCTACATACCGTAATGATCCTTAACAATACCAGACTTAATTAATTTCTTCTCTTTGCTGAAAATTCAAATACAGCATTTCAAGGTCATATGGGGAAAGGCAGCAGGGGAACTAAAGAAAGCAGAGACTCAAAATTGAGACTGTCCCAGGAGAGTGAAGTTAGCAGGAGAGAAGTACGAGCAAGAGACAGAAATACATTTTCCTAATTTAACTGAGACCATGAACTCTCCTTAAGCAAAACTAATAATTGCATCAGCAAAGCAAAAAGCTCAGTTTATGTTAGGATTGACTGCTCACCAGCTGGTATCTACACAATCAGTTTTCATTCTTTAAGAGCCCCTTAACTTTTAGATATATATAATATACATACAGGTTTTTAAGGTCCCTTCCAACCAAATCATTCTATGATTCTACGATAAGCATGCAGTAGCATAGTTTTAACAGTATCAACTTCCATTTTTTATATACCAACTTTACAACATTGAAACTTGTCTACGTAGTTCTTTGTAAACATGAATTATCATCTCAAATTCCTACATTTTGTAAAAATTAATCTGTATCTACAGCTACTTCTAGCAGTAATATAATTATTCTTTCATCACACGTAAAGTAGTTTTAGCTTTGTGAAATAGAAAACAAGAAACAGAAATTTAATGATTCAGGTTACAGATGAAACCTGTGGCAAAAGCTTCACTTAAAGTCAGACCAGTCTTAATCACATACCTGTAGTTCTCTCATTCTTTCCCAAATTTGATTTGCAAGCAGCTAAAGTGATGACATTAATCTACTGACTAACACATCCATACTAGATTAGGTCATTTGACATTATTGAAAACAGCTGTAAAAGACTGATAGGGTCCGGTTAATCAATATAATAACTATTTTCTTTTTTATTGCTAATGTGTAGAATCAGTTTGCAAATTTGATTAAAAGAAACCCCTACATTTTTTAATGTATCTGAATATTTTATAAAGCAAAGAACAAGGCTAAAATTAAAAATTACTGAACTGGAAACAATATTCTAACTAAATGGCATCAAGGTAAGGTCCTGTCTCAAAGGAAACATGAAAGGGAAACTCCATTAAAGTCTTGAGGTCCCCAAGTAGTAATTATTAGTGATGTGATTTTAATAAATGAAAAATCATTTCCCGTGTTATCTTTGGCAGTATATGAAAATATCAATATACACCAATACTTTTTAAGTTTATATCTACTAAAATTCATACCTTGTCATTTTGCTCATGATCCCTCATATGGCGCTGGAACTGGGTCTCTCTCGGAAAAGACAGCAAACAGATCTCACACTTACGGAAGTTAGGTACTTGGTAAGGAAATTTACTGTTCTTTGTATTCGGTGTCAGAACATCATCTACAAAACAAGCATCAAGACATTTGTATGAAGTCACATTTCATTTACTTATATTTTATTGTAAAAGTCAGAATTCCTTGAGGCAGAAACTATTCAAACTCCTGTAAGATTTTGACTTACGAGATTCTGACTTCACTGGATCTTGAAGATCCCAGGCATAAACATTACTGCTTCCATTGACATGGGATGAAAGGAATATATCCATCCCTCTAACTGCCAGTTGCCAAGGAGATAAATAATCACCTTTTCCTAGTAATTAGAAGTAAATTCTTGCTGTGCTTCATGAGCGCCCATCAAGTTTGCAACAAAATAAAATGTTGCCAAATACACCAGGTATGAGTAAGATACTACCAGGCTTATTTATAATACTACTACATCACGTGTTTCTAAAAAAATAATAATAAAAAAAATCTTTAATGCAACACAGTCAGCAGTTCTAACTACATAGGTTTTCTGTCCTCCTCCTCTTCCTCAGTCTTATTTTTCCTTCAAGAAAAATTCACGCATCTTCTCTTTTTTCTACTTCTGGGAATGTAAAGCCTTTATTAAAAACCTTTACAGTTGTAAAACCAACACCCATGTTTCAAATAGCTGAGAGAGATGCAATAAACTGCAAGTCAAACTGTGCACACATGAATTCAACGGAGAAAGATTTTTTTTTCAATAGACCCAGTCTAAGCCCATATCGTTTTCGCGAACTCCTACAGTCGTCACACAACTTTTGACATACAAGCTGCAAGCTTCTATATCTTCTTGCTCAAATGGCTGAAATCAGTCCTATTAATATATTCCTTATATCTTAAATGTTTATCCAAGTAAGTCAAACACATTTTACACTTGAGAACATACTGTACTACTGAGGAAGTTATGTTTATTTAAGAAAAGAAACTGGCAGGAACAGTTAAAATATCTAAGATCATTCAAAACAGTATTTATAAAACAAAAATACAAGTAGACTGACTTGTGCTGCAGATTAAGGACACTGAAGAAAAAAAAAAAACAACACAGAATTCAGTTTCCAATGTTGCCACGACTCTTAAGTGCATCAACAACAGAATGCAACAGGACAAACAAAAAAACAGAACGTTCATTTTATTTTCAAGACTTGCAAGAGAGTCAGTACTTTTCACCATGTATGTAAGAATTAGGCATAGGAAGTAATAGCACAACTAGAAGTCTACAACATCCTGTTTACATTTCCTCAGAGGAAACCAAAGATTACGATTCATGTAGTATTTCTGCTCAACACTGCACCTACCTCAAAGTTCTGTCTCATTCAAGGGAAAAAAAAAAAAATCAGTACTTTACAACCTGACCATCTTTTTTTCCTGCTAAAGTTCTGAACAAACTCTAAAAGCTTGTAGTTGAGGAAGCTCTAGCAAACATGTCAGCACAAGATATTTTAGATGAGAAATCACAACTAAAAACCATGTCCTGGAGACTTATACTTTCCAAGCAACTGAAGTAGAGAAAGTGTAACTTCGAAATAATCAAAGGTGCTAACTTCTCTATAATTTGAAATACAGAAAAAGCAGCATGCTCAGTAGCACCTGAGTAAGATTACCAAGTGACTTACTTTTTAGGTCAGTAACTTTTCTATAGATCATTTTTATTAAAGTGTGTATCATATTTGTATCAACCAAAATACTGATTAATATATAGGCTACGAATTTTCTCCAAGAATTAAAACAGGAACCTGAATGAACTATATGTCAAAGAAAAATCAAATATCCTTGTGATGTTACAACAGAATTTGATAACCGTGAGTATATGAAATCATGCAACTTGATGCTTATCACTATATGGGATGATTATTTCAGCTTTTCTTTAAAAAGGAGGAAATTATGGGGTAATGGTTTAAAACTTTCCAGTTTTAAGGTAGATTTAGGTTGGGTATTAGGAAAAAGTTCTTCAATAGGAGGGTGGTAGATCACTGGAACAGGTTGCCCAGAGAGGTGGTGGAGGCCCCATCCCTGGAGATATTCAAGGTCAGGCTTGATGGGGCTCTGAGCAACCCGATCTAGTAACAGTGTCCCCGCTTCGTGCAGAGGGGTTGGACCAGATGATCTTTAAAGGTCCCTTCCAACCCAATACATTCTGTGATTCTATGAATCTATGGCCATTAAAATAAAGGGGTAACAAAAGCATAACCTTAAAATATTTCCTAGGAAAGAATACAGAAACAGCCTAAACTGGCAAATGAGGAGCTGAGCACATCACACTCCATATTGAAGTGTCAGGAGTAGTTCCTGAGTGATCACCAACCCCGAGCTGCCTGCAAGCCTTTCCACCTTCCTAATGGCCTGCAGACCCCAAGGAAGAAGAAATAGAAGGCAGGCATTTAGAAAATCTGTTGCTTACATCTGTAACATCTTAAGCACTGGTCTTTCAAAGAAAACCTTTGTAACTCTTTGCAAAGCTGTATTTTGTGGGTTTTTTGGCCCACTGCTAGAAGCAAAAGACAGACATTTGGGAGGCAGGACTGAGCCCCAGCAAATGGACTGTACAGTCCCACCTGAAGAAGGCTGCTTGGCAGATGGTGTTTACTGCAGAAACTCATCTAAAGGCCTTAAGGACAAGGCACAGCAAACCAGTTTAGGTTAGACTCCAGAAATCTTCAAAGGCTCAAGGACTGGGAGATCAGGCTGAAGACTGCTGCAGGTAGTTACAGCCAGTATGAACAGACAACCAGACCACTTTGGATTTAAAAGAACTCCAAAAGTTCCATTGCTTCACTCAAAGGGCAGGATAGATTTAATGCAGATTCAAATTAAAACACAAATTCACTTATTCATCAACACTATGTCTGAACTAGGGACAGATGAGACTATGATTATCTTTTTCACTTACATTCTCACTGAAGTACAGTTTTGTCCTCTATTACCAGACAGATACTGGGTATTTCTGAGAGCTGCACAGCTCCCTTTTATTAAAGATGCAGGAAGTGACTGTTTATTTTATTCTTCCAGTAACAATTCCTTGTTATTCAGAATAAGACCCCTACTGAAATCAAGCAACTGCATTACAGCAAGGACAATACTGTTATGATGTGTTGAGAATTTGGAAGATAGAAAAACAGGAAAGATTCCCGATTAAAGAAATAAAGCGCAAGTGAGCTATATTTCAACTTTTCAGGCAGGTGTCACAGACTCAAAGTATGACTTGGGTTTGTCTTCAATAGAAAAATGAAATAACAGTTTGACAGAGTTTTTTATTAGAAGAATTAATAACCAAAGACACTATTTACACGATACCTCCATATCATAGCAAGTCAAAGCAATAAACCACATTGTCATAGTTCAGAGAAATCAGCAATAAAATCCAGCTGTTCAATCATCTTCCCTTATTATCAGAGGAAAAAAAATGCTCTTAGATGTATCACCTTGGACCATGCAACAATTCAAACACTGCGAAATACTGGACCTATCTTAAAGGCCACTATTTCTGAGTACCCAAAAACGTAGAGATGATGCCAGTTCAAGAAGCTGGCAGTGGGATATGGATCCTGTACTTCTAAATGCACTGATTAATTTCTTAATTAAAAAACAAAATCTGCTACACATTCCCTGTGTACCAAAGGGAACAAAAATACTGACATACATGACATAGTGTTTGATAGTCACAATTTATCATTTATCAGATTAGCAACTAATTACCAAACAGCTAAAATAGTGCCTATGCTTCCAGAAAAATGTAAATATTGAATACACAGATTAAGCAATCTATTTATTGCCAGATATGCTCTGTCCAGATGAAAACACAAGTCTGCTAACTAAGTCAAGTCAACACAGAATTAATAATCTGAGTTATTAATTAGAGAAGACACTAACTGATTACGTATATAGAAATAAAATTGTATGAAAAATTGGCATGCTCTTACTACAGAGAAGCTACTTATTGACATCCATAAACACACACACATATACATATAAAGAAAACACAATGAATATCAGAGTAACAAATTCCCTGAAAAATAAGTGATCCTTTCAGGTCTACACACTACAAAAGAAATGACAAACCTCACTGAACAGCTACAAAGCTTAAAATGCTGCAATTTATTAATATTAACCTCATAAAAATAGTGGAGAAGCTACTGTTTTGTTTGGGTTGTTTTGGTTTTTTGTTCCTCTGTTTGGGTTTTTGTGGTTTTTTTGCAACTCACATGTTTGTCTATTTGCAACATAAATCAACCCTATTCTATCGCAGCTTGAGACAGTCAAGTATCAATACAACTAGATGAAATGGGGAGCACTTAGCTCTTTATGCACTGCCAAACATACATTTAATCTGTATTCTTTCAGCTTGTCCAAAGTGTCCAAAAATACCAGAATCACATTTGCAAAGTACCTATCAGAGATTATAAACTTACAGTTCCTAGATGGCCTTACTCAAATACTCTTAATGTTACAATCTTCAAGTCCTTTTCACATTACTTGCCCCTCACAAAGCAGCAGCAATCAAGTTTCAGGTCAACTCAGATTTTTGTGATAAGAGCCTTCACGAAAACTTGACCTCAGGAGCTGAGTCAGCAAGCAGGTGCTCTCCGCTACGAGCCACCCATGACAACTCAATGTGGAAGGAGGCAGACAGAATTAGAGCACTCCCAACCTTTCCCTCCTTATGTAAGCAGCACTTGTGCCTCCCTGCAGCCTGCAATTCCCTCTGCAAGGCACAGATGGGTGCATTCAGCTGGAAACCCAGTGCAGCCTTATTAGATCTCTAATAGCCCACTCGCACCCGACTGAGAGGACACTGCGAATACAACGCTCAAGCTTGTGGAGTTCGTGGATGGAAAACTTGTCAATGAAGTTAAATGGCAGCAGGCAAGTCCAGGGACAAAAGGGTCTGACCCTATCAAAACCTATTTACTAATTTCTGAGTAAAAAGAAAGAGGTAAGACAGGAGAACAAAACAGGGATGGCCATATTGATGCTTCCTCATGCTACAATTGAATTCACAGCACACAAATGATAATGGATCATTAGAACAT